CGATGTTGGGTTCAGATTGTTCCATGCATTTGGCAATATTTCCCGATATTTACTTCTTCCCTGTAAGACGCTTTAGCTTTTTATCGACAGATGAGATTTGTTTGTTGGTAGGGTCTGTGGTAAGAGATTTATAAGTTGATCTATCCTATAACAATGATAGCATCTTTCCTCCGTAGTCTTCTTCGTCCAAAGTGGCAGTTGAACCTCCTTTATCTGCCGCGAGAATGATAATTCTTTCGTCCATTTTAAGGTCTTCAATGTCTTTCTTTCTTTGTGTGGTAGAGCAGAAACATAATTTCGGTTCTTTAGAAGATGTACGGTCCTCTTCTGAATTGCGAAACATTCATCCTCCGTTAAATTCTCTGGTGATATTATGACTCGACAGGAAGGGGGAACAAAAAGAGAGTCTGGTCGGATCTTATTTCGTGGCCGTACCTGCAGTAGTCAAGCACCAGCCTAACCCCTAACCCTAATCCCTAACAGGTACGGCTGCGAAATACGATCTTGCCGAGAGCCGGTTCAAAGGGCAAGCACTTTATTGACCGTCTGCGAACACGAGGGGTTACAGCTCGTCATCAGAAAGACGGCTTACTTACGTTGGCTCCTGTGCGCTCTGAAACATTCCGGCCAATGGTGTACCGGCCGTCGAGAGCGTCCTAAAACGTTCCAGCCTAGGACGTACTCGTCACGGGTTGGCCATCGCGTGCGCGGGAATTCCCCCAAGAAAAGTCCCGAATAATCAACCAACCATTGACTGAGCCTCACGGGTGAGCAAACTCGTCACACGCGCTCGATACTTCAGTGCTTGTTAACTGTCTTTCCGAGTTAACATGCCGGGGTCAACCTGGTCTGCTGCACTGCGCGTAGTTGCGTAGTCGTTTCGGCGTAGGCCGTGTCAAATGCTATGATGGACTCCATGTTTGCATGGGGAATCCAGGTAGTTCGCATCCGAAAGATTGTATTTCATCCCCTTAGAAAGCAAATCCTCTTCGTTTATTGTAAGGGTTTTAGATGACAAACTTACTACCTTCGTCGAACAATTCTGGTTTAAGCAAGCCAGTTGAGAAATAGACATACACTTCTTGTTTAAAATGCTCCTTTTCTTCAGTTGTTCGTTGTCAGAAACAAAGACGATCGTTGCAGTTAGAGATTCGAGTAAGTGCGAAGGGAGGCTATCTCGGTAGAATTACATGTGCTGCTCCTTAGAAGCTCGAACTTTCTGAAATGATGAATGCGCGAAGCATTCCCTGACCATAACGAGATGCAATTTGACATCCATGAGGAGGAGATCTTATGGCAGGTTTTACTTGGACAGATTTTGGTAAAATCTACCGGTATCGACATCTATGCAAAAATGCTATTTGCTCTCGCGTAAGACTTTCGCGAATCGCACATTTCTCCCATTGTCTAGCTCGTAGCATCCCAAAAAATAATTTGAAGATAAACAGGCCCTTTGGGGAAAGTAGAGAGCTTTATTAAGTAAATCCTCGACTCCGGTTTCCCAGGTCGCCTTTCGACTTGCGTAAATATGCAGAAAATAAAACAATTAAACATTGTAAACGTGCTGAAGAATCGGTGAGGTTTGGCCCTGCAGCCCCGCTTGATTGAAAGCGTATGATTAGCTTTTCAAAACAGTTTTGGTTAACAACCGCAGTCACTTGCTGGATTAGAAATGGGAAGAGAACGCAAGCAGAGCTCGAAGCATGCATTGGGGAAGCGCGTGTGAACCGATGTTTGGTGTTACCGAAGGTGGCGTGTACACACTCTCCCGTAACACAGCCAGCCGCTTGAGTAACAGGATAGGGAGAGTGCAGTCGCAAGTGGAAGGCCACGGAGGGAACTATGTGTCAATTCGCAGTACACGGCCACTATACTGGAACCGACGGAGTTCCAATTTGTCTGAACAGTGACATTAGCTAGCCTTATTGGCCACCCGCTGAATTAAGATAATAAAGAGACCGTAAGCGGGGGTAGGGTTGGGGTTTAGGGTTAGGAGTCATGATTAGGGTTAGAGTTAGCGTAACTATTTCCAAAGTTTTTCTGACTGTCAACTTGTAGCAGTGGTGTATCGTGAAGAAAGTAAGTCCTGGGACTGGATGTCCTGCAGCTGCCGAGTTGAAGAAAGTAGCACTTAGCGAGATAGGCGTAGAGAGTCTTTAGCTATTAATGACGTGAGTGCTTCTAAATCAGTTGCACAGATCTTCAGTCAAAGATCATCAGCTAAGTCCCACGAAGTCATTCCGCCTTTGCTTAGTACCTACGATACCTTCATTACAGATGAGTCAGGCAAAGCAGAAATGTTAAACTCTTTCCTTGCCAAACATTTCACCATCGAAACTGATCCAATCTCTTTAATTCCTCCTTTGTCTGATGCATCTCTCAGCATCATTAATTTTTCTCCTGAAACTATTTAAAAACTGATAAACCATCTTCCTAACTCCCACTCAGTAGGCACGGACAATATCCCAAACTCTCTTATAAAACAGCTACGAGATTTTCCTCCTCTGCTTAGCAAACTCTTTTCAGTATTCCTCGTAAATGGCTTCTTTCCTGACTATTGGAAAACTTCTATTATTATTCCTGTATTTAAGTCTGACTGTCGTCCTGACGTTCAGAACTATCGAGGTGTCCATAAAACGCCTTCTCTCGCTAAAACCTTTGAAAAAATTATCGCCTTAAAAATTACTGACTTTTGCATAGCCAATCAAGTTCTTAGCCCTTCCCAGCATGGTTTTTTACCAGATCGATCTTGTGAAACATGTTATCTGTCGTTTCTCAATCTACTTGCCTCTCTTCGTAATGACCGTATATCTGTTGTCGTTATTTATTTTGATCTTAGCAAGGCCTTTAATAAAGTACCACATAAAAGACTCTTAGTTAAATTAGGAGCCCTAAGAATTCGCAGTCCCCTAATAGACTTTATCAAGTCCTACTTGTCCAATCGTAAAAAAATGTTTTAGTGGATCTTCACTTTCCAGTGAAAGCCCTATTGTAAGTGGTGTCCTACGAGGCACCGTTTTATGTCCTCTTCCGTTCCTGCTTTACAAAGATGATATCTCGGCGGCAGTTAAACATTCTCAATCATTTATTTATGAAGATGACCTCAAATGTGTATATTCTTTCAATAAATCTACGAGCCTTCATTGCCTGGAGCAAATCCATGCTGACTTGCTTACTCTCTCAACTTGGAGCTCAAAATTGCTAATGGAATTCTCTCCGTCTAAATGTCGCTATATGTGTTTTGGACTTGACAGACTACCCCAACCAGTGGTCTTTCAAGGCACACCTATGACAGCATATACCACCATCAAGGATTTAGGTTTAAGCTTCACCAATAATCTTGATCTCTCGCCACGCGCCGACAGAATTACAGCCAAAGCTGCCCAGAGTTGTGGCTTTATTTCTTACAATTTCTATCTTCCTGAAATTAAATTAAGGCTCTATCGTATGTTTGTACTTCCCATTCTCGAGTATTGTTGCCCATTCTTTGATTTGATGAATGAGGATAGTCGTTTAAAATTGAAAATGTACAAAGATATTTTTTTAAAAAGCTTCTAGATAGGGAACATTCAAATATCTCCTACTCAGATAGATGCCAGCTAATTAACCTAAACTTTTTATGGGTTCGAAGACTAGAAGTAGGCTTCTGTCTCCTCTTTCGCATTAGTCATAGTTCAAATCTTCCTCGGAATTCAGCACTTACCCCTAGTATTCGCCAATACAATCTTCGCAACTCGTCCTTGATTATACCTCCTCCAGCATCCTCCACCTCTAAGCGCTCCCTTTTTTCGCTTCCAGATATACTTTCCCCTGGAATAACCTTCCAATAAATATAAGATCTTCAGATAATCTACATACATTTAAGAGAAGGCTACGCCTTTATATGAATACTGACTCGATTAAACTTTTATTTTCCTCATCCTTCCCGGACAGCTATCTCTATGACACTGGGAAAGGGCCACCATGAATTGAGGACGCCGCCATTAACTTTCCGCATCTGTTCACATTTCCTTCCTTTGTGAGTCGTATCGCTTTCTAAGATCCTTCACCAAAAATGTTAATTTTTCCAATTTTCCAGTTCATGCATCGTGCACTCGCAGAATGCGCTCCATCGATGCTCTTGGCGGAACCTTCTGTATTCGCCATATACTAGTAGTCTGGTCGCATCTCCCTGCCCAATCCTCGGATGGATTCGGAAGAATGTAACTGACCGCACCTGGGTTCCTATCGCCTCGAGACTGGTTTTCAGTTTTGTCACTTATTTGCCTTATTCAAGGCCACATACAGGCCAGTCCTCACTGACCCGCCCACTTACCCCTTCATGAAATCCGTTATACACTGCCATAAACAGCTGACATTTATTTCTGCCCTGTCGATGTCCGATTATAATCCATTGTATACCGCCACATGCAGGCCAGTCCTGCCCGCATTTTTCTGTTATTGCTTTTTCATCGAGGGGTTTTTTCCCCTGTAAAATTAATCCAATCATTTTTAAATTTTCCTGTGGAGTTTTGTTCACCCCTCGCTAATCATTTTTCTTAACCGTTTAATAATTCGAAAACTATAAATTGCACTTCGTACAGATTTGGCCTACCTCGTCTAAAATTCGCATGTAAGTTTATTTTTGCTTGCTTTGATGGGACCCCGACGGGCCTTTAATAAACTATTATTATTACCTTGAAGGGCATTAGCCAACGCTTCGATCAGTCCTCGAGGCAGTTTAGGTTTGTTTGCAGGTGGTCTCTGTCTGCTGCATTGCGAGTAACTTTCCACAATTTTATGTCACCAGAAAACAGGGTGGCATCCAAGTCTAGGTTCCTGAAGCAGTCATTCATGAAAACGAGGAATAAAATGGGGCCTAAGACTGAGCCCTGTGTGACACCACTCGCCGCGGTTACCTCTGAGGACTGCTGGTGCCCGACCTGCACTCTTTGAGACCGTCCAGTCATGAAGTTGTCGATCCACACAAGAAGGCGTCCATGAATTCCTGCGTTGCGCAGCTAGTGCAAGAGACGTTGATGAGGGACGCTGTCGAAGGCCTTTTTGAAGTCCACGTAGATGGTGTGCACTGAATTGCCTACGTAGCGTGCATTAGTCCAGCATTCGAGTGAAAAAAACAGAGTTGTGAGACAGGGCCTATCACTTCGAAAGTCCTGTTGGGCATCGGGTAGGAGGTGATGCTGCTCGAGGAACTGCATCAAAGCTTTTTTAATGATCTTATCCATGATTTGGCAACAGATGGAGGTAAGACCCACTGACCTGTCGTTATTCACAGACGCACGACTTCCGTCCTTAAAAAGCGGACTGATGGTAGCGGTCTTCCAATAGGAGGGTAGGCACCCAGTAGCAAATGAAGTTTGGAGAAGCAGGCTTAACGCTTTGGACGTTTCCGAGGCCAGGTCCTTCCGTAACTTGGCCGGGATTGCATCAGGACCTGCGGAAGTTGATAACTTCAGGTTTAGTAACTCTTTCTGAACGATTGCTTCGGTGAGGAAGGCTGTTTTATTGGTATGCGTTTCTTCGTCCTCACAAGTAGGTGGGAAAAAATCGGGTTCATTTGTCAAGACGAACTGGTAGCGCCAAGAGATCTGTTCAGCCTTATCCTTGTCATCTGACATTTCCACAGCCTAGGCTATTCGCAGCAGTGGGATAGGATCTTTGTTCCGCCTACTCTGTCTTATGTAACTGCAATGGACTTTGGGACTAACCATGGCACGGTACAAAAGATCCTTTTCGAAGACTTCCCGATCCCTGGCGATGGGAATTTTGACCCGGTTTCTCTGTAACTTATAAATATTTAGGGATTCATGCGTCGGGTCAATGAGGGATCTTTTCCATAGTTTCCTCTTCTTGTTAGATTCATTCTTTATGGACGAAGTCAACCAGTGGGCTCTATTTATCAGCCTTATGTGCACGATAAGGCAGTGGTTGGAGATGAGGCTGTGACCTATCTCTTCGAAGTGACACAAACCTCTTCGATATCGAAAAAGAGAGTTGATGCTCAGTCGATCGGACGAAGATCCTTTTGTATTTGTTCGAAATCGCCGCGTCGGGTCGGGGATCGAGCGGTTGTGCAGACAGGGAGTATAAGGTGTGCTCCCATATGAGAACTACATGGTCACTCTGGCCCAACGGGGGAGGCAATTCACAACGTCGACGATATCAAACGACTTAGTGAGCACAAGTTCTGACCCTCATGACCTCTCGTTGGAAACATCACGTGTTGGGTGAGAGGCGGATTCCCGGTGGTATACAGAACTTGCTGGTCGGATGCTGTTTCTAGGCAATCGGCGGAGGCCGAGCTCCAGTCGATGTGAGGTACATTAAAGTATCCAGCGAGGAGGATATTCGGCCGCGTGGAAAATAAGTCGAACTCATCTAGCGTTTGGGCATCAGGGTCAGGATCATTTCTCTGGAGGGCGATATACTGTTAAGATATCGAGACCTTGAGAGCCCGGTGCCCTTTTGGTCAGCAACAATGCTTCCGTACTACAAGACAGCTTAGCAGTTTTTTCTGAAATGTACAACTTATTCTTGATAAATGTTAATATGCCATAACCTCTTCTGTTTTTCTGTCTCTGCGGAACAATTGAAATCCAGGAAGCGTTACCTCTCTATCACCAACCTGTTCGGACAACCATGTCTTTATTATTGAAATAACCTCTGATTGGAGGTCGCAGACATGGATTCCGAGTTCATCCAATTTTGAAAGTAGACTTTGTTTGTTTGTATACATGGACGTGAGTTTCGAGTTCATGGGAGATTTATTTACAACCCCGACACAAGTAACTGGGGTATCTCTGCCGTTATTCGAACCGGCTTTATCCAGAAAGAAGCAGAATCTCATTTTACTATCTGGTATTTGTATGTTACCAAGTTCTGTGCTCCGTTGGTTCTCCGTTGATTCGCCGTGTTCTCAGTTCTAGGACGAGTTCGCGGCGTCTCATTCTTCCGGTAAGTCCGACTCAAAAAACACTGCTTTTGGGAATAATTCAGTCTAAAACGTCTGGAAAGAATTAATTTCGCCTGCTCATGGCAGTCTCGAACGATTTTAGGGGTCGTGATCGCGTCTGTGAAGAAGCATTTGTACGGCTACCAAGACAAAACGCCTTTAAGACGATGAAATCGTCCGATGGTTGCAGAATTTCATCAAAGATTTTCTGGAACTGCACTAAGTCAGTAGCGACTCGTTTCCTGGAGACACTGGTGGGGACTCTGGGAGGACCTGAATTATGATGGAGTGGTCCCTTTCAAACATTCCTCCGTTTTCTGTGGTTAAAAAGTCGTCGGCTGGTACTTTGGCCTCGTCGAAGAAGACTGCCAAAAGGAGGTGCTGAAATACTGGTGTATCTGTCCTCGAGCAGTTCATCTGCGGTTCTTGCTGGGTCATAATTAATGATTAAGCTCTTTGTTCGATCAATAATGCACCCCCTCAGAGGGCTCTGTGTAGAAGTTGATCCCCCTGAATTACAGACTTCCTCAGCTCGGGCCTCAACTGTGATTACATGGGAATTCGTAATGGCGTTTAATTCTACCCTAGGTCCACGGGCATATTTATTTGTGCTAGTTGACATTCCTTCTAATTTACGCTCCGGAGATGAGCACGCCATCTGGAAATTAATAAGGTTGGACGCCATCTTCCCCATTCCTTCCACTTTCTTCGTTGGTACATCTTCATTACTTTCAGTTTATACGTGCGACTGCTTTTCGGGCACGACTGATATACTCCCTTTCGTATCTTGGGGACCTTTCCCATGGTGTTTAGTGACGTCGTCCTCTTATTCCTTTTGGCCTCGGAAGCCGCTACTTGACTACTGATAGCAGATGTCTTATACACCACATGATAGTTTCTTGGGATTCCTTACGCGGGATGACTCTCGCCCTGCTCCCAGTTAATTTATGCATATACACTACTGGGCGGTCCTCTGATGAAAGAGACTTGCCTATATGCCCCTTTAGATTTTCAACTTCTTCCTCTAGTTGATGCATCTTGTAGGCTATCGTAGGACAACCACTACACGAATATCCAAAGTTTTTCTGCAGTGACTAATTAATAGAGCTTTTGGAACGGTCCTCGGGGTGTGTCTGTAGTGCAGGAGTTAGCGGAGCAAGCCCTCGTTCTTAAGGTCCTCGGTTTAAACCCAAAGAGCGCGTTAATTTGGAATACGAGTGCACTCTGCTAGCACCAGCCCCGCCAAGACCCGTCAACCCCTGGGGCCAGAAGGGGCTATGCCTAAGTTGGGCGGGGCTATGACGGGGCTGGGATGCCGTAGCCCCTTATAGCGTACTTCCCGAAAAAACGCGCAGGGGGACGCTAACCTCTCCGCGATATTAACTCCCTTTACAAAATCGGTCTTTCGCCTTACTACATTCCCTGTGCTATAGGTCGTGCTGTTCCACATAGAACCGTGGAGCATCCATATCCCTAAGACTTACTGAATGCAACCCAGCCGCGTTTGGCACTGTCGGTGCACGAACAAGTCCTACACAACGCCGAGTCTACACGAAAAAATTAATGGACGGTTAATAGGTGCACGTGAAAGTTTATTGAAAAACGCGCAAATTATAAAAGGGGCAAGGGAGTATTTACATAGACCATAATGTTTACGGGGACCGCCTTTAGAAGAGCATGTCAATAAACCTTTTCATTCACTTTTTCAGTCTGATTGACAGTACGGCGACCCACGGGACCTGAATGACAGGGGTCTCAATAATCGGCAATCAGACGTCACACATCAAATATTGGAAGAATACGTTTTTGATATGATAGCACTATGGTAACGATCGAGATATCAAAAGAGATACGGAGGCACAAGAGGAAATGATTGGAAGAAACTAAGTTCAAACAATAAGATTATGGCCGCGGGGACAGCCGGCTGCGGAAAAGAGGGGAATAATTAACTAAATGGGTTGTTGTCCGGCCGTGTTGGTTGTTAATGTTGGTTGTGAGTTTCGGGATTGGCCCTTAAATGAAAAAGCAAAGTATTGAATGATAAAAAGTTTCCATTGAGTGGGTAGGCTCGTGACAACACTTTTGTTACAAAATACGCTATGGGCGATGCATCGTTTAAACTGCCGACTGAAATTCTAAGTCAAATAAAAAGGTTTGTAAGATAAATAAATATGACATAATTATTTCAAAGTAAATTTTCAGGTCAACCAAAAGAAGGCAAGAAATGTAAGTAGCAGTCCACAAGTGACCTGTTGGCATTTAGATAAAAAGTGTGAATAAGTAAACAAACAAATATAACAAATTACTTAATAACTAGTCGTTATTTATATTATCTATCTTTGGGCTTTTTCTGAGCCCAACTGAGCACGACGAAATTATTCTGCGCTCCAACTGGGACAATTTCGACTTGGTTACCATTCCACAGTTACAGTCTACGACATTGATACTGGAACCGTACGTACAGAATTACTTTGTGCATTTTTGGAATATTTTTTCACGCATCGAAATTCGCCAGGAACCTGGATTAATAGCAATCTGTTAATCAGCACGGTCCAACTGACATCGCAACTGGCTACGCAACCGATTCGCGGGTATACAGCCTAGAAAACCAATCGCTCAGAATCCTTCAAGGTCTGCAGTTATTCAAGTCCCACGAGATCTGGAAAGGGCTAAGTCGTTTCTGATTAAATTCAACAAAATTTATCGGATTTTAAGTATTTTTTCGCTTATTGAGTTTTGAATACTCACTTTACTTCATCATATATAATCCGACGTACTCGTTATAACATCGAAAGCGAAATTATACCTATTATATCACGTCGAAGTTTATGGATTCTCAGCAAGCTAACTGTAGTAGTACGGCCAGCGACGGCACCTCTTTGGAAGATAAGTCTGGTGAGTTGTCCTTCGCATCCAGAACCTGTGCTCGCTCTATCTGCGCTTCCAGCCAACGACCGGCAAAGCGTGCAAAAAGCGTAAACACCGCAAAAAGTGTGAGGTACGAAGACGAGCCTTGTGCTGGGTGCGCAGATATTCAAATCAAAGTAGAACAACTGGAAAAGGAGCTTGCTGATTTAAGGACGCTCGTGAAACAGACCGTAGTCGGCCACAACTGTCCAGTGTTAGAATCCCAAAAACGAAGAGCAAAACGCAAAAAACGCGAAAAACTATCTCCTCGGAGGAATCTTCAAACACGAGTAGCAACTCAACAGCCAAAACCGCAAACGCCGGTAACAGCAGGACGATGAAAATGAAGCCACCGATAAAGGGAGACTCGATTCCCACGCACGATGTTTTAAGCGATGTCACACAAAAATTACCTGTCGCGGAAGCCATCTCATCTAAGACTCTTGCTTTAAGTGACGGGAATTCTCTTCTGCCTGGAGACGATATACCTGGGTCATCCAGTCTACTATTGCCCTCTTTTTCTGGCAACCACCCCGAGCGCACTACAGAGCACGTATCTGAATGCGAAGACATAAACCCGTGGGTAGAGGGGAGAGGGAAACGCCATGACAGGATTCTGAATTCACAGCTAGCCCTGATGGGTTGCTCGGGACAGTCGGTAGACAGTAAAAGTGTGCGTCCAAGCGATGACTCCGTAAATCGTCCTCGCCCACATGAAGCGCATTCACCGGAAAGACAGAGTAAGGAGGACCATGCTCGCCAGCAGTGTCTGGTTATTCAGGGTTTGTCAGAATCGAATGCAGTCAGACCTGAAGACCGTGTCTCAGAGGAGCTTGCTTCATTTCATGGTCTGCTAAATTATTTACCGCCGGCAGACATGGAAATAAAGGTTCTGAAAGCATTCCAGATAGGAAAAAGGAGTGAAGACAGGACAGTAGCACAACCACCTCGCCCTCTCAAAATTATGCTGGAGAACAAAGAGCAAATCAAGTTTATCCCCTCTAAAAAAAACCGATCTCAGAAACACACACAAACAGGTTTTTTTCAACCGGATTATTCACCAGTGGAACAGTTGAAACGCCGGGAACTTGTCTTGGAGTTAAAATCAAGACTGAAGGGTGGAGAACACAATCTGGCTATCTTCAAGGGGAAGGTAGTTTGGAAATATATGCTGTTTCAGTGGAACCAGCCTGTAATACTACGAACAACGACAGCTACTCAGCTAAAACAGACACCTTCGTCGAACCACCTGATCAAGGCGCCAACACAAGTGAGCCCGTAGCGTCCAGTGATCTGACTGAAACAAGGCATGTAAATGGAACCAATCAGGTAACGGAAGAGCCTAGAGAACACGACGTCCGCGATAAGGGAGTAATGCTCACAGCAGTAACAAATGCAACGGGAAATTCGGCTGGTGCTAAACTGAGGTGCTTGTACATGAATGCCCAAAGCCTCATATCGAAATTAGACGAACTAAAACTTTGCCTTGCCGAGCTGTCTCCAGATGTTTTAGCAGTAACTGAGACCTGGCTGTCCGGGAATATTAGCGATAACGAAGTAGCCTTGCCTGAATACCAAATTTATCGGAGGGACAGGGAACATCGTCAGGGTGGTGGTGTCGTTGTGTATGTGAATGACGGTCTGGCAGTGTCGGATAACACAACCAAGTATGCGTGCAGTAAGGAAGCTGTCTGGTTGACCATCAAGGCTACCGGTTCCCCGTGTCTCGATATCCTCACTGTCTACCGACCACCTAGGACAGACCGAATCGCCGACACTCAACTATTGGAGCAGTTGGAGAAATTTTCCAGTCGACCTAACATCATGATCATGGGCGACTTCAACGCACCAGGAACAAACTGGAATACCCTCCAAGCGTCAGGTCCAAAATCGGCATTCGATTACCGCCTGTTGAGCAAAACATTAAGTGCGTGCCTCACACAACATGTAATGTCCCCAACGAGAACACGTGAAGGGCAAAGGGCAAACTGCCTGGATCTGGTCTTTACGAAAACACCAGACAGCATAGACGAGATCGCCTCCATGCCGCCCCTTGGCCGAAGTGATCACGTAGTGCTCATGTGGGATTATTCGTTATTCTCCATTTCACATACTCCAGACCACAAAAGGTGTAATGTTTGGTGGGGCGACTTCAATCAGATGAGGGCAGACTTATCCGGTCTTGACTGGGGCTCTTTGTTTACGGGAAGTGCCAACGATGACTGGGAGCTGTTCAAGAATGTCCTTCTGCAGCTCATCAACAACCACTGCCCACTGACTAGTGTAAGACTGAACAAACGCCCTGGGTGGCTAAATAGCAACCTCAAGAAAGAAATAAACAGGAAGCACAAATTGTGGAGAAAATACTGCGTCACTAGACAAGCTGAATGCTTCAACACCTACAAGACACAGAGGAACAAACTGAGGAAGCTGATAATGCAGACGCGGCGGGAATTCGAGAAGAACTTGTTACAAAAAGCAACGTAGAACCCAAAATTGCTCTACAGCTACCTCCGACGAACTACAAGGAACAGGCATCAAATCCCTTGATAAAGACTACTGATGGCGTTGAGATCGCTGATAGTAGGGATAAAGCTGCGTATTTTTCCAACCAGTCTACACAAACGAGGCAAGGTTCCTTCCTCCCTCCACAGAAGAACTGCCGACTCCAAGCGTCAGTGATATACTCTTCTCAGAAGGCATTGTCCGAAGAGAATTAGAGGCATTGAACGAATCGAAGTCGCCAGGACCAGACGAGATTCCACCCAAGCTTCTGAAGGAACTTGCCAGTGAGCTCTCTGTGCCTTTGTCGATGCTCTTTCAAACGTCATTTGACACTGGAACACTTCCTGTCGATTGGAAGCTGGCGCATATTACTCCGCTACACAAAGGAGGTAACAGGGCAGCGACGACAAATTACAGGCCCATAAGCTTGACATGCATTCTCTGCAAAGTTATGGAAAGGATCATAAAGACTGAACTGATGCAATTCCTGGAAGTTCACGGCCTGCTATCGAAATGCCAACATGGGTTCCGAAAAGGAAGATCCTGCACGACAAACCTGCTGCAATCTCTCCAGAGCTGGACCCGAGCTCTCGACGACAGGCACGAGGTCCACATAGCCTTCATCGACTTCCAGAAGGCTTTCGACACTGTGCCACACCAAAGGCTCTTACATAAGCTGAAAAAAATAGGGATCGCTGGCAACTTCCTTAAATGGATCGAAAACTTCCTTGTGGGTCGACACCAGGTTGTGTGCGTCGGTCGGGGAAAATCAGATCCGGCTATGGTCGATAGTGGTGTCCCCGAGGGTTCAGTTCTGGGACCCACTTTGTTCCTTATCTACGTGGACGATGCCGCAAGAGATTTAGACTGTGAAGTAGTAATGTTTGCGGATGACATGAACATATGGAGTGTAATTCGGGGTTCTGCCGATGAAGACAGACTGCAGATGAACCTGAATAGGTTGGAGGAGTGGTCAAACCGTTGGCTCCTGCGGTTCAACGTTGCCAAATGTAGCATACTGCGCCTAGGCAACACAGCCAGATCCGCCAGCACAAGAGGCTACTTTCTGGGCGGTGCAGCCCTACAAGAGGTCGAAGCCCAAAGGGACCTCGGTGTGCTTACGACGAGTTCCCTAAAACCATCCGCCCACTGTTCGAGGGTGGCAAAAAGCGCAATGTCCGTACTGTACGCCATCAAGCGTGCGTTTATGGACTTTGACGAAGAAGCTTTCTCTAAGACATTCGGAACATTCGTCCGGCCGCATTTAGAGTACGGCATACAAGCTTGGAGGCCGTGGGCTGTTTTGGATCAAAACTGCCTCGAAAGAGTCCAGAGGAGAGCCACGAAGATGGTAAGTGGTCAAAGCTCCTTTCCTTATGCAACCCGCCTAGTAAATCTGCACCTCTTTCCTTTGAGTTACAGGCAACTTCGCGGAGATCTCTTGCAAGCCTTCCGCATTGTTAAGGAGTTGGATTGCAGTCTGGCCTTCGAGGACTTTTTTGAATTTGCTACCACGACCAACCTCCGAGGTCACCCGTTAAAACTGCGCACTCAACAGGTACGGCTGGATGTGCGGAAGTTCTCCTTCTCCGTTCGGGTGGTCAAACCATGGAATGAGCTTCCCGCAGATGTTGTGATGTCACCATCTATACAAAGTTTTAAGAAGAATCTGGACATATTTATGTTCCGAAATGACCAAGAGCGATGAGAAGTCGAGCTCACCCCCTGTAACTCCTTCTCATTTTGTCCGACCATTATGGGCGTGTTTGAACTATTTCAGCCCAGAACATCTATCTGTACACCACAAATTTTTTACGTTGCAAATAGGGTACTCAAAGGCTTACGCCTATTTCCCTCAATAAACTGAACTGAACTGAACTTAAATCGCACAGTTAGATTTGCAGTAATTTTGCCATATAATGAAGTGTAACTAAGAGCATACCTACTGAAGAATTGCAGAATTCCGTTTATGATAAAAATAATTAAATATGTTAAAAATCTTTGATGAGCGTATACATGATAATCGTTATAAAATATCAAAAATTGTCATACAACTTAAGTTACATGAGATTTATCAGTTTTACTTAACGCGTCTCCCGACGGCGACAATGAAAATTTGAGGCCGTTGCATGTGGTCTCCAGGGGAATCTGACTAATTTAGTAAATTGTGTGTCTTACGAGCAGTACTCCAGCGCTTAGCTCGACCGCCGTAGCGATCACTGACTCCGTGGAGTCTGGACAACTTTTCTACATACACAAAAATAAACTGTCACGCAAAGAATGTTGCTCTAAGTATGAAGAAAAAAGTTTTTATAATGTTCTTTCAGTAGACAGTGACTTCATAAGAAAACATAATAGTCTTGTCCAGAAGCTTTCGGAATCCGAAATTTAGACAAATACTTTGACACGATGATGTAAACAACGTCTGCATTTCGAAGAGCGACTTGTCCTTTGTAGATGCTTTAGATGTATCGTTCGTCAGATAATTCGTCTTTCTGGACATTAAAGTGGTAGAAACTGGGAAGACCAAAATCGGAGTTATGCGAATGTTCTGTAGCTGCAGGAGGAAGATACCGATGATCCGAATTCAGTTCTTAATTCCGGCAGGCTCTAGTAGCGTCTGGTAGATCGAAATCTCGAAGTAAGTAAATTCCTCGGAGGTCGAAAATTTAAAACCCAATTCAAAACTCGCGGCCTTTCTGGTGTGTCTGTCGAGCCCGCCCATTTCATGAAATGTTCGTTGACACCGTAAGCATAATGCAGACAGCTAGGTAATTGTGGTGTCTGTCAGCGGTCATAAACATTCCTGAGACGCCAATTTTCCTTTGACAGCGGCGATTGAGCTGGCCTCGTACATTTCAGTTTCTGTCTTCAATGCTCCTCTCCAAAATAGTCTGATAACGGGCAAGAAAGTCCAAAGGTCTCCGAGATAATTGGCCGGTCTTTGAATGTCCTCCTAACGTCATTTTTATCCTACGTATTTCGAGTGCCAATGATACCTGATTCGACTATTTGCGATGGATACGCAGCCTGTCGGTAAGGGTATGTGAGTGACGACATGGTACGGGCCTCCTAGGAGCACTACCACCGTTTGTCAGTCATCATTGTCATCATTATTTGCAGCTGAATTCGATGATAGATTCTAGTCTAAACGCACGACGTCACGTAGTTAAATTTCGTGCATTTGTACTCTCTCGGAAGTTTCTGAAAGCCACCATTTTGCTTACACCGGATCTTGAGATAGGACAGTGTTATGAATTTTAATTTGAGTCAAGATTATGCAGTTAACATGCTGGCAATATATATATGTATATATATATATATATATATATATATATATACAAACTAAGCGTGCAGATTCAGGGCGACTCGTTTTACTGTTTTGATTTGCCCGCGCACTTTTCGAGTATTTCGCGGACAGAAGTATTTTCTTGTTTCTCTGGATGTGTCAATTGCCAACGCGACCGCATTAAATAAGACTATCGTATAAATGCAAAAGAACCTTCAAACTCACTGTTAACCGGTCTTTATCTTCCATGGACGGTATTTCGGAATCGTAAGTATTTGCATAGATATTCGACTCGAGTCGAATTTCCGACCCTTTACTTATACTCTGCTTAGCTCCTGCAGTTGTTCTTTCTAATTCATAACTTACGAGCAGTTCATATATCATCGATGACATTATAATTGCCCATATCCACCCTTGTGGGTTAGTTTGCGATTTGTTTTGCGATTGGTTGACTCTTGTCAGTAGCCCCTGTAAGCAAATTTCGCTCAGCAGTCCTTCTGCGTGTTTAGCGCCAGTGGTTCGGATGGGTCAGCAAGACTGGGCTATTTGTACAGGCCGTGTTCAGTTGGCCAACTAAATCGCTAGTCGTTTACAAGCCGGGAAATCCGAGGTGCTTGTTCATGGCTAGGCAGAAGCAACTGCGCGGGTATCTTACATACGTGTAGCCGTATGTACAAGAAGCACTCGGGAATAGCACACGAGGATAAAGCCCCCACGGAGGCGCACGTACGCACAAATGGCTGGCGGTGATCATCGATCACATGATTCCTATTTTCCCTCCACTTATACCATCGGCATGAAAACTCTTCTCCGACTCGCCCTTCTTTGATTTTTACTGGGCATACGAGTAGCCAAATTGGATTTAACACCCCTGCAGATCCCGTCCGAAAAAGTATCCAGTAGTCATTTATTCTTTTAAATATCCATCGGCTGACTTCGACTGACTGGCCAATTAGCTCTCAAGGAATGCAGAGAGCAAAAACAGCGCCTACCATCCACCGTGACCCACCAAATTTTCTTTTATTAGTCTTCTTGCGTCCTTTTCTGTTAGTAAAAGTCACCTTATCTGATCTCATTTAGTCGAATTTTGCCGTGAAAGCACGACGTACAGAATAATATTACAGACTTAATATGCATGGGAATGAGTTTCCTCCTTTTGAAGCAGCTCCACTGTGCTTGTGTCTGTTTCTGCATATCCTCCATCAAGTTAGTTCAAGTCGCCTGTATCTTCGCGCCCCTCCTCCTGTACCTGGCCAATCTGTTTGCTGCCTTTTATCCTTAGATCAATAGAGCAAACTTCAGCGTTAGACTAGCAATAAAGAAAAAGGTCACAAACAAGTTCCGCCATAAAACAAAGCCACATAAATAGGTAGGGTGTTTTCTGAAGGCGTGGATAGCTATAGTAAGACGCACTAAATTTAGTAAAACCTATTGCTGATAGGCCTGCACCTTAGCGTCTGGTGTGTACTATCGGATCCTAAACGGTCGATCTTGTCCACAGTCCATTGATGTTCTATCATCACTGATCTGATTGGCTGCGTCTATGCTTCGTGTTTGGCTTTTTGGTACGTCTGGATGGCTGCCACTTTGTCGTTGCCCATGATCACTTTCTCTACTGGAAAAACCATAGGCCCCTTCCAGCGAAGTCCAGTCTTCTAGCCAACTTGTTACCTTGCCGCCTTTGTCGAGACGAGTAACTTTCTGACTTGCTTAGCCCGCTGTTTTTGACTGATAACGCGATATTTACCGCCTTGCTTCCCTTCTATGATTACTTGCGTTCCTCATTTCTCTGTCGAAATTTTACCAACAACCCAACTTTTTCGAAACGACGCATTTATACCAACAGCATTTGAGCTGAAATATAGTGTTTTGAGTCTTGGAAGTCAGTGACTTGCATATGAATCTCTTGGCATCTATAAAAGCATGTTATTGGCTCCTAAAAAACAGGCTCACAGAGGGGAGTTTACAGTTTGGTTAGTTCTGCCTTCTTTTACCGATCGTCTTCAGCAAATGGACGGTCGTAATCCTGAATTCACCACTCTTCTGCTACAATGACATCTAACTTGCGTCAGAATTATTTGTTCAGTTACCTGAATGCCTCGGCTGCATTGCTAGCGACGATCATAAATCGCAGACTGCTGTCCGTGGTTGTGATAGAGTAGGTATAGCGATGGATGATGGTACAGGTCACAGTTGGGATTCCGGTCCCTTCCACCGGTTTGCTTCCTCCGTTTCTTCCATGCCTAGAGCAATTATTGTCACTCTATACTGGTGCGTTTTGACTCAAATCAGTCATTTCAAAGTGAGCCCTAGGCACTTCTCCCGACCCTCGCTAAAAAGTGCTTATGACGTACAAATATAAGCCTGCTCTCTTCTCCTACATGAGGTGTGGTTCAAATTGAGATTGCACACGACCTAGTGCCTGCAAAATTTCCACCAATTACTATGTAGGTCATGTGGGACTTCAAAACCCTTGATATAGTCAAATTAATAAACTTGTATCTTAGTGTAATTTGGATTTTGAATTAGAATGTAATACAAATTTCGAATACTTCGTAGGCCACAGTTCTCATTTGTTAATTTTTACTCAGTTATCTCTTTCCTTTTAGCATATTGACGAACACTCCGGCCGATACTCTCGCACAGGACTTGTCTGCCGCCAAACTAGAAGACTGTTCCCCCCTACAGTTGATGTTTTCTCGTCTCGTTGCTCAAGAAGGTCCGCACTTCCGCCATCAGACTCGCGACGAACCACCTTTAACGGAGGAAGAGAAGATTAAAATTGTATCAGATCTCTTCCTCAGAAATCCTGGTCAATTCTTGGCACGCTATAGTTCCTTTCTCGTGTGGCCCGATGACGCGGGATGCTTTGATCAACACTTGGACGACTTCACTGTGCAGTTTTATCTCAAGAAAGCCGGTGTAGAATTTCGTGCTGTCGAAAATTCACCTAATAAACTAACAATTGCGCCGAATGAGAGCGCTCTCGGCAAGAGGCACTGCCGTATAAGGAATCGCCGTTTTAAAGTGAGTTTCTATGGCATGTCCCCTCGTTCCATAGGTTTATCTGCAGCCTGTTTTCCCTTGACTCTGCACCCCAACGAGTCACCGCCCGGAAAAGATATAAAATGTTCAACCCCGACTGAACTGCGATAAACCTCTGTTTTGAGCTTGTGACCTCGAGTAGGAATAAGCGTCTCATGATTTGGGGAGTATTAGTATTGAGGCCAAATGTGAGTCCGCGCTCCTCACTCGCGTTTGCCCATCTGAATTCGACGTAAATATAGCGTTAACGCAAAATTGGGGAGACATTGCATTAAATCTGCACCGTATCCAGAAATGTATTTTGCGATCAAACTGTCCAACTGTGTTTAAAGGGGTTCCCAACCGAGGCCGTGAGAGTGAAAAAAGTGCCGCTCTGCATCTCAGAAAGCTGATTTATTTATTTTCTGGCTCTGTGGTAACTGGATTGGCTTGAAATTCATAAGTTCCTGCCTAGTATGTTCAGTCGGACTCACGCAGTGACGGCTAACTCAGTCAAAGTCTCGAATGACCTCGAAGTCAGTCAGAGATGACCAACTGTCTGTCATCTCTCAGTAGTGACTTCCATAGTTCAGAGTTCATACTCCAAGAGGCTAGAGAACTCCGTCAGGTTATCTGCCAAGTCAGTGGTTGGTTCCCTGCGCTGAATGACCGTTTTCGATAGGATTTCTGACATTATCGCTGATAACTTGGTCAGGAAGCAGTGCCGTCGCTCAACTTCGATGGTCATCCAGCCACCCTTCTGGACACCTAACCCTCATATTTTTCTGTCTCATGTGAGCATAAACCGTCTTGCGGGTTGGATGTCAATCCAAAAATCGAGCTGGAAACCGAGACGACGAACATGGATCAAGCGCCTGAAGCTTCACACTGTGATTTCTGCGGTCGCGTATTTCGCACCCATCTCGCTGGCCAATAGTAAATAGGCAACTTAGCCTTTTTGAAATGTGAATGAACTGCACGCAGCATGCTGGAATGTAAGGAGTCCTCTTACACCTGCGCAGAAAGCAGGACTACGCAGTCTTTGGTTGGATATACTGCGAACGTTGCCTCCTTCATATGGGGGACGCCTTACAAATCATGGCGCCGAAGAACTCAGACCGGAACTTTTAGTATCTGTTGGAAGCCGTTGTAGTAGAGGGTTTTGCGTGCGTGTGTGTCTGTTTGGTACTTATTTTAACATCAGAATAACTAAAATGTGCGTTTCAACCCTGGACGCATGTGACATGCAAAGTAGGCCTTCGACAAACTTCACACGGTTACGAGGCGTGTCCCATTGGGTGACTTTGTCGTCAGGGATAATTGAACTGCCAGGATGGGAGGTAAGATCCATCTACGAGTCGAAGCCTTGGCCGCTACGCAATGTATAGTGTTTAGTACGTCGAACCGCATAGTCGAATCACACACATTGTTCCACTACCCCAAGGGGTGCCTTGTCATACATGTTGACCGTACTCAAGACCAAACTGTCTTGAAGAAGAAGACACGATCGCCGGGACAAGAGCTTTATTAGCCTGACGTTTCGGATTCCTGCTCGAATCCATCATCAGAGACATAAGCAGATAAGGGTGGTTCATGCACATGTGGCTGCAGTATTTATAGGATGCCGTAGCCATGCCACCGCATACCTATGAATGTTCACGACTCCCTCCCCTTCATCAGGGATCGTTGCACGTGGCGTAATGGTCGATATTCGCGTCGTTAATTGCTGCAATTTCGCTTCTATTGGCAATGTATTTGGGCGCGATGCGCTCCGATCGGCCCGGCGATGGGAAACCTTCGCCCTTCGGGAGGCCTCCACGTATTCGCAGATCCGGTTTCTGCACAGGTGTCTCGACAATAATGTGTTGCCGAAATGTGTTTCATACAAGCCTCCGGTTAACACAGATTTGGCGAGACGGGCAGTATACCAAACTGTCAGCTTGCTTGTCCGAGCACTTTGGAATAATTTCGTGACTTATTCAGTCGGCTTGGTGTTGCGTATTAGCCGCGTCTCAAGTATTCACACACCGAAGGCGTCACTCTCCTTGCTGTACACTCAGACCTTGGTCTTTGTTCTGCCATGATGCGCTTGAATTAGTCATGTTAGCCGCGGTGGCAGGTCATAATTCAGCATTATTGGTCACGCAGAACCCTTAATAACGTCTTCACCTGCAAAGACAACATTTGCAACCTTAATCATCATCCAGCGAGTTAACTTCAACTATCTTTGTGTGTTAAGGTTTGTACAAACCCCTCGTAACCGGGACAGACCGCAGTGAAACGGTTCATGTCAAACCGGACAGATGTTATTGAAGTTGTCTTTAATTTGGGTTCATTTGATTATTTCCCGCTTACCCGAACATAGTTAGGCACTCCAAGTAAGTCTGGTTGTCAGCTTTTTGTGTTAGCTGAAACCTTCACTCACTTTCCTATCCTCCCCTGCAATGCATCTCCTTGTCTGCTTTGCAGGTTGAATGACAGACTGATCTGTAATTTAACCGTGTTCGTTAATGGACCAGCTCTGGTTTTTTCTCAATTAGTTCTTTTAACCGCATTAATCTAGTTCCAATCATCGTCGCTCCTCAGCATCATGGATGGGACTGGTAAACTAGTGGAATCCAAATTTGCCTTCATCGTGCAGTCTTATGCCTCCCCCTTCGAATTCCTTACAGGCAATGATGCGCATGAAGGCTGAGGCTGAAGAGGACCCAACAAATGGTTACTTCTCGCACGAACAGATGCGTGAACGGGATCCGGAGCTGTGGGAGGACATGGTTGGACGCTACGCCTCCGCAGAACAACGCCGTGCCCTTTTGGGCCATCAATATGACTCTTTCAGTGGGATGCTGCTTAGTCAGATCTTGGATTCGGAAATGGCTAGGCCACCAGTCTTTGAGACGGACGAGGTAGGCTCTGTCCAACTCTTAGGAGTGTGGCTGTTTGTGTGACCGTAACTTCCTTCCCCTCCAGGACTCTTCCGCCTCCTCGACAACCGTTGACACTAGGCGTGCGGTATCCAAGCCCAAGTCCCGACGAACCAAGAGTACTTGTCCACGTTCTTTTCTTCCATACTTACTTTTGTAGAAGAGGAAGAGCGGCAACGCTCAGAAACAGAATTTTCCGAAATTATGCATTCTCGGTTTCTCTCCGGACTGGATAAGGATTTTGACTACGCGTACGTTGCCTGTCTTCATTTAGTTCTATGTCATCTTTAGCGCAGTGGACAACGATGAGAGTTTGGATGATGATTCGGACCTCAATAGAGATGCGGAGGAGAGTTACTTCGACGCGGAGAGCCCGAAATCCCTCAGCTTGGACGATGAGGAAGAGGAGGACACGGGAGGAAAGAAAGCCCCTGCATCAGATTCTTGGAGTGATGGAGAATTTGAGTCTGTTCTTTCTAATAAACAGTCCTGACGCCCTTATTATTACTCCTATTGTTGAGATTCAAGCCGCACAAACGGTAATTCGCAGTCTCACGAGGCCTGTCGCTGTTTGGTTCGAGCCTGCCGTTGTTAGTGCCGGTACTGTGCTGCTCACAGCTTATGCCTTTCAAGAGGGGTAATGGAGGGATTGGCAAGATTAGTGCTTCTACCTAACACATGTAGAGCTTCGCCTCACAGTACAACGTAGGCTGAGCATGTTCCTGATCACTCCTGGTGACGTCATGCGGTAAAATACGCGCCGATGCGACACTTCCGACCCGCCGTTTCTTAATAACCTCTTTGTTTCCGTCCTGTTAGTATTTGTAAATGTTGTTTATGATATAGACACAAAGTAAGGAGCTCGTGTAGATACTCAAGCGTCCTTTTTCTTGGGTACTGTCTCGTTGTAACAACCTGACAAGTTCTAATTGCGAAATGATGTATTCCCTGGAAAAACATCCGCGTTTTCCCTAACTAAAGAGTTAGGGATTTGATGACCTGATTTTTCACAACAGTCCTCGTTAACGCCGCTTTGTTTCGTGGGTGTTGTCTGCTACTTATTTGTAATGCTTAACGACAGAAAGTTTCTTCCATAAGATTTGTATTGAAGGGATTCTAAGTATCTCTTAACTTTCATCGTTGCCGCTCCTTGCCACCGTCTCTCACGCTGACACAAAAACTGTTCTAGTCAAAGGTCTTCGTAGACGTGTTACTCAGACTTGCGTCATTGCTCTTCTAGCTGTTACGGATTGATCTCGAGGAGCCTTTAACTGATCCCCAGGAAACACTAACCGTAAAGGACGATTCCTCCCAAAGTGACTGCCTTCGGGCCCCTGGGGACGTTTTTTGAAATCCTCAGCACCATTGACTTTCGTTCGTTCCTCATAGCGCTGCGTGATTCTAAATCGGGACTGATATTAAGGAGTTGCCGTACTCTGTCCGATGGATGCAGGTAGGAGTCGCTGCTGGACTGCAATCTGTAGTTATTATGGTTCCTTGAATGTGCTGTCAGCTGGTCTGCAGACGTCAAAAATACGAATACAAATGCGCCTACTGAGTCGGTCTCAGTAGCGGCGTGTGTAAGTTGTTGGGCGAGTCCTGTCTTCTCCCACGAAAACTGTTAACGACTTATTCATCCTCATTTACAATGGAGCTCAGTGAGTAGGCACATATCCTCAGGAAGCTTGCTTTTGCCCATCTATTTAGGGAGATTGCGTGTAAGAGTTTGGCGAGAGCATGCTTACGGTAGCTAATGCGGGCGGCTTATTGACCCTAACCTTCATTGTAACACTAAAGTAGCATGGTTTGTTATCTGAGAACATATCTCATATTGAGTACTTTCTCGCGGCGTCCCATCCATCATGCTGACCGCAGCAAACTAAACCGCATGTTTTGCATAAGTGATGTTGATGCACTGTTGATAGTGGTCATGTGTACGTGTGAGGATGGGTAGGTCCATGTGTGGCCTAGCTGTGCTTGTGTACGCGAGGTAGTTCGAAGTGTTGTGGCTGGATCTGGACTGCACTGTTTGACTGAAGAGTCTCGTAGATGCACCTACGACCCAACAGGCCAATACGGTGTCTAAATTCCTTGAGACGGCCTAAGTAGCGTCGAGTTTCATACGGGTGTGTCTGGGCTCCAGATACTGATCGACAGGTCGCAGGGTGGTGGCCGACCCCGTTGGGTGATTGGAAAGTGCGTTCCCAATAAGGATAGGTTGAAACAGACTCCGCATTGCTGGTGAACTAGACGGTGATTGGCAGGATGGGTGGGGGGTGTTTTCACAGGTGGTGACGGTGTTTTGTGGGGTGAGGGGCGGGTTGGTCATGTTGACTTTTCCCTGAGGCTGAAGATAACCAACGAGGTCTCTCAGGGTCCGTTTACATTGTGACCAAGATGGAAGGGGTTTGGAGCTTGCGTCGATTATCCGCAGCGCTCCAGTCTCGCGAGACTTGTCTTGGCAGGGACTATTTGGTTTCCGAAAACGGGTCGCGGCTAGATCGCAGTTGGTAGCCAGGAATGGGGAAGCGGACGGTGACCTTAACCCTAATCCTAACCTTAACCCTAACCTCAACCTTAGACGTTGACCGTTAACCCTAACGACAACCCTAACCCTGACCGAAAACGTAAATGTAACCCTTAAACATAGCCGTAATTGGAAAACCTAACCGTAATAGTGAAACCTAATTGTACGCTCAAACCCTAACCGTAACCCGAAAATCTAAGCCTAAAGGCAAAACCCTAACCGGACAATTGGAAACCATTAACCGGTACCCTAGTCCTAACCTCAAACGTACAACGGAAGCCAAATGGGCCAGATTTGATTATGGAACCCCACAAAATAGCCCCAATAAACAAACCCCCAGCCACCTGTAACACTGGCCCTGGCTACCAACTGCGATCTAGCCACGGTCGCCCCTGTCTTATCATAGTGAGCCCGCCTACCGATCTTGAGCGAGGCCCTCCCAGATATCCTGGTTGATTTGTAAATGAGGGAGGTCTTTGGGATGTCCTTTTAATCACTTCTGTCCGCTTTGTCTGCACAGACTCGTAGTAACGTCACCGTATGTAATGGCTTGGGAGTCAGTGTCGTTACATCTGGCATAGCACGAAATAGATATTGAAAGCGCCCTTCTGTTCGAGGAACTTAGTGCCTGCAACTTTGGTTTGGGTATCTTTGGAAGGCAACTGAGTTGAGAGTAGTTTACTTTCTTTTATCAGTTCTCATGAACTGTTCTTGTTTTTATCACCTGCAGGAGCGTATTCAGGACAACCGTTCTGCGCATCCTCAGCTTTGTGTTAAGAGGAATGTCGCGGCCATTCAAGATTTTCAGTTTCATTGTATTTCAGGGAAAGTAGGTGTGGACCCTTGAAATCACTATTGGTTACATGCAGAGGAAGTATATGGAGAAAATGGAAAGGAAGTAACATGAAAGAAGTACAAGGGGAATATCAAAAACTGTACAGATTAACACATAATTTCATGCGTTAACAGTAATTAAAGGCATATGAATCCAGCTTGTCGATTAAATACAGCAGACATTTGAAGCACACCTCATACGGGAAAAGCCTTAAGATTTTTTTCAGTCTGCAAGCATCATGGTAAATGCGAGCAGCGGTGGGCGACGTGGCTCAAAATTAATAAATTACATAAACAGATATTCCTTGAATATTAGTGGTAGAACCGTCATAACACTAGGTCGTCAACATTGGCTATCAAGAGGGCTGTAGTCCGGCGTTATTGTAGTGAGCACTCCAATGTTCATCTGGCCTCCGTTTAAAAGTGTCAAGGGATCCCGATGAAGTATTGTAGACAGCCGAAGACCTGGCAGGCTTTAAGACCCGACTAATACGTGTATAATTACATAAGCGAAAACGCTCCAAGCAATCTTCGGGACAAATGTCCCCCAACCAGTTGATTGCTTGGCGACTGGCAAAGTTTTTCCGGGCGTTACTTATGCTTGGGAGGCGAAAGCTTTCCGTTTTTCGTTGTTTGATATTGGGTCGGTCGGAACAAAAGTGATTTAGCCACTTTTCTTTGGTAGAGACTTTCCAGGGATTGAGGCTTCTGTAATGGCTGATGGTTTGTCTCAATAAATTCTCCGACGCATGTCTCTATCGGTCACGGCAGAACTGCGGAATCAACTTTAGACGTCGTCTGCGGATTTTCTGCCGCTTATCAAAACACTACGGCAAGGATGGTCTTTAATATATAAAAGTACCTACTATATTCGCCTAAGTAGGTCTTACCTTATTAATTGTTTCTTGGCTCACAGAGGTGGCCTTTAGTTTCCGTCCCCACCCCCTACCCCATCGCGCTTTCTGTCAACGGAACCCTCGAATAAGGTGGGGGCCTACAATTGCTCGTCCCACATCTCCCACTGCTAGGCCTTTGCCACATAAGTGTTCTTTCCAAACGGTGAATATGCTGAAAATTCATGTTCGGAGCATGTGATTGTCATAAGGACGCAGTTTGTCATTTGCTCATTAAAGCCGCCAAGGGAATGAGATTCCTTCTGTGACCGACTTCAGGCATTTGAATAAGCATCAATGTCGTCTCACTCCCCCAGTTCATTGTAATGTCTGTGAACATGCGTGATATTAACGGCGTAAGGATTTGTCTGATTATTTAAAAGGGCTGCCCCTTGAGCCTTCCCTCCTCTAAGGTCAAGAGTTGTAACTTTTATGATTCGGATACCCCTCTACGTGATTACGGCCGTGACGGGCAGCTGCAGCCCTTTCCAACGCCCGAGTGCATATCAAACAAAGACTGTTACTCATTGACTGTTCCATATTTCCGCTTCAACTGTGATAGCTTGCCTGATTTATGGAGCTGTAGCCGTCATTCCAGCTTGGGTAGATGGCGAATTGACAGGGCTGTCGGTTTAAGAGCGTCGGGAGAGTGTTTAAAAAGGACAACTCTAGTTCAAAATGCGTGTCAACCGCGAGAGCAGGTTGGGACAGTTTGCTGTAGCAGCTGAAATCATGAACAAACCCTAGCCGCTGCTATCAACAGGTTAGGTCCGGAGTAGGAAAAGTAGGTGGCAGAGGAGGGGGAATCATAAGTAGGGGTCGGTTATGCTGCCCTGGTCCCAAGTGCAAGCGCAATGTGGGAATCGCAAGTAAAGTAAGCCGAAGTAGAATGCGGAGACCGTTAGTGGGAAAGTAGCCAAATCTAAAACGGTAAAGGGTAACCTGATGTTTCGGTTTAAAGGTAGGGTTGATTTTGGCATTTGAGTTAACGCCAGCCTGAGAAGTGAGTTTGGGGTTAGGTTTACGTTTAATGTTGAGGGTGAGGTTAGAATTAGTACAAGGGTTAGGGTAGGGTTACGGTTAAGGTCAAGGTTAGGGTTTGGTTTAGGGTCAAAGTTAGTGTTGGGGTTAGGATTTGGGTCAGGGTTAAGATTATCTTTTTGGTCAGGTCTAGGGTCTGTTGTAGGTTTTGGGTTAAGTTAAGTGTCAAGTTAAGGGTTAGTGCTTTTGAGGTTACTG